CTGCATTTACTGCTTTGTGCTCTGACACTATCACCCCTGCTATAAACTCTATTGACATACAGCAGTTTCACAAATGCTTTGTTCCTAACATTATTGATGCTGCCAATAGATTTATAGGCAGAAGTTCTTGTAAACGTCCTCTTAAACCGCCTGTTTGTTGGTGGACGGATACATGTCAATCAGCACATGATGCCAGGAAGAGGGCAAAGAAAAATGTTCTTTCTCTTTCAAATCGGCTTTACCGTCTGCTTTTCTTGAGTATAGGTGCACTTCTGCATTCCTTAAAAGAACTGTTATTGAAGCACAATGTTTGTCTTGGGCTAATTACACCACTTTTATAAAAAGAAATACACCTCTTTCTCAGGTATGGAGGAAAGTGAAAAAGATTTCTGGTAGTTCATGTCCCGTCTACTGGTCAAAACATGCCTACAACAACAAGTATTGACAAGTTGGTTGGTTGGTTTGTTGTTTAATGCCACACTCAGCAATATTTCAGCTATATGACGTGGTCTGTAAATAATCGAGTCTGGATCAGACAATCCAGTGATGGATATCAGGAGCATCGATCCACGCGTTTTGGATCGATGACATGCTTCAAGCCAAGTCAGCAAACCTGACCACCCAATCCCGTTAGTTGCCTCCCATAACAAGCTTAGTAGCCTGTTATGTCAAGCATAGGTTGCTGAAGACCTATTCTATCCCGGATCTTCAAGGGTCATTATTGACAAGAGTAATGCACTGGAACAGTCATTTCAAAAAGTATCGAGTACAGAAAACTTAAACTCAGACTTTTTACACTATAAGTAAACACTTGAATCAGAATTCTCGGACATCAGGTGATGATGTTATGTTATATCTCCCACTTATCAGCCTTCAAACCATGCTTTTACTTTTTAATAATATTTGGTTTGAAGGCAAACTTCCGATTTCTTGGAAAAAAGCAATAGTAGTTCCGATTCCGAAGCCTGGTAAAGATCCTAAAAAAGCCACACCCTACAGACCTATTGCTCTTGCCTCTAACATGTGTAGAATAATGGAGAGAATGGTAAATAACCGTCTGATTTACTTCATGGAAAAGAACAATCTCTTTTCACACATTCAATCGGGCGTTCGGAAAAATAGATCTTGTGCTGATCATTCAGTGCGCCTTGAAACTGAAAATAAAAAGGCCATAGGTAGCACTGAATATTTAATGGCTGTTTTCATGGACATTGAAAAAGCTTATGACATGTTTTGGAGGGAAGGTTTGATAATAAAACTGTATAAACTTGGAGTTTGTGGACGTATGCTTGATTGGATATACAAGATTTCTTAAGGGGTAGAAATATACAAGTTCGCATTGTCTGCGTTTCATTTACATGTTAGAGAATGGAACACCTCAAGGAAGTGTTATCAGCTCAACATTATTTAATGTCATGATAAATGATTTGTTTGAGAATATCAATATTCTTGTTGAAACATCACAGTTTGCAGATGACGGAGCGTTGTGGAAACGGTCCAGTAATTTTGACACTGTCTTCAAAGGTGTTCAACAATCTCTCTATCTTGTACAGAATTGGTGTGTACATTGGGGTTTTAAAAATTCAGCCTCTAAATCATCTGAAATTATTTGGACTCGGAAGAAGATTCCTCATAATTCAAAATTAGTGGATAAAGTCATGTTTTTAGGTCTCTGGTTTCATAAGAGGCTCACCTTGAAACACATGGACTATCCAATTCAGAAGTGCACTTAAGTCCTGAACGTTCTGAGAAGTATTTCCAGTGTCAAATGGGGTGCAGACAGGAAGTGTTTATTAATGTTATATTGAGCCCTCATTTTAGATCTCGACCTGATTTCGGATGTTTAGCCTATGCATCTGCATGTGCCTTTAAAAAAGCAAGACTAGTTGTTGTTCAGTCCAAAGCCCAAAGATTATGTCTTTGAGCGTTCAGAACCACCTCTGTCGAGGCTTTACAAGTTGATTCGGATGAAATGCCTTAAGATCTCAGACGGGAACTGTTAGAAGTTCGATATATATTAAAATTGAAATCATTTGGGAGAAGATACCCGACGTCAAAAGTGTTAAATGATTGTGTTGAATATTTTCAGGATTCTTTGAAAAACGGGATGGGATGCGTTCTCAAAGAACTGTTTTCAATCATACTGTACGTGACATTGCAAAAGATGACGCTAAAAGCTGCCATGGTTGATTAAACTGCCATCAGTTTATCTTGATGTCCTGGAACAGGTAAATAAATGTGAGCCAGCACCTCGAGTTAAAGCTATAGCTGAGGAACATATTCGAAGTACTAGTTTACAGTGGTTAAATTCCATGCAGATTTACACTGATGGATCTAGTTTCCCAGTGTCCGGTCGTGTTGGTGCTGGTTTCTTCATTGTTTATGAACAGAAAGAACTTTCTATCCGTTTGCCTATCACTTGTCAGTATTATCTGCCGAACCTGGAGCAATCATTGAAGCATTGCGTTGGATTCATTTTTAAGGCCTGTATCAGCAGTAATTTTCAGTGACTCTGTCAGTGCATTATAAACAATTCGTGTAGATTCTTCCTCAGCGAGGCAGGACTTGATCAACATTATTTTCGACCTTTATAATGAATTAAGTAAAGATCTGTTAGATGTTGAATTTCCATGGATCCCTCCCTGCTCATGTTGGATTACTTGGAAATGTGTGAGTGCGTGAGTGGCAAAAGCTGCATAAGAGTTTGATGAATCAGAACAGGATGAGACCATTTTACCTTTTCCTGAAGAAATAGGCACCGTCAGTATAACCCGTGCTAACAAAATTGCAGAAGAGGTGGGCATCATCCTTAAAAGGGCGTCATTTCTATGGCATCGATACTTTCGTCTTTGTCTTGGGCATTGTGGTCTTGGTGCATATCTCAATGTTATTAAAACATACATTTCTGCACAGTGTACAGTGTGTAATCAGCTTGACAATGTGGCTCGTTATTTACTGCATTGTCAAAAATATGAAAATCAGCGTAAGGCAATGGTGGATTCTTTCACAGTTCTCAATATTGACCTCTCATTAGCTGGACTTTTATGTACTAGAAATATCGTTCGCCATGATGTTCAGAATGTCATTCTTGCGCATATAAAGCGTGTGGTTCTTTTACTACTTTATGAAATATCTAGGTACTTAGCAAACCTTTATCATGGGCAAGGTCTAAATGGGCCTAGTTGCCCAAACACCTATAAAACTTTTAATGATCAATCAATCAGTCAAGAACCAAGCTTATCAAACCGCAAACGGCATCTCTCTAACATAGCTCAGTGAAGAAAGATTCTTTTTCACTGGTCATTCATATTTTGCAGGGAATTGGTTGGTTTTATATTTATGGTTAAGTGAACAAGCTTATGTAAATACCTTGCACAGTATTCGTCGATATGTATATGTGTACCAAATGACAGTTTGTATTTGTAAAGCTGTATATACATATGACTTTGTCAAATATTACACTGTGGTACAAATTATGTCTACATTCAACTGCCAACCGTTGCTGTTACGATGATTCTTTTAAAGGGGTGGGTTTATTTGGATATGTTTTCTTATTGGATAAATATCAGGATTGTAACAGTAGTTAATTACATTTAAAACGGTTTTAATTGGTATAATAATTATATATGGATTATTTGGTTTTCCAATCTACCCCCACATGACACGCCTGATCCGTATCCCATACCTTTATGTCGTTGATGAATTAAAATATTTGTTACAGATTGTTTGCAAAATATAATTCCCCAAAACATTTCAGAACTGTAAAATACTTGGTATACCACACATCATACATAGAAAGATGTATGTGACAAACTCAGACATAAAATAAATAAGTTATTAATTACAAATTCAAGCTAGGAAGATGAAATCAAAATTCGATTCTTGACGGAAGAGGTCTGAAAAGTTCACTGTGGACATTTTCTAAAACTGAAAACAAGCTTCGCATTCTCAGTTTGTGTCATCTAATTTCAATAAGAAGGAAGAAATTGCAAACATAAGATGAGAAACAAACGCATGAGTCTCGATTCGGCTTGTCTCAGAAAGGAATGAGTTCGTCACGAACACAGAGGCTAGTAAGGCAAACATGCATACCCCGCACTGAAAATATTCTTCCAAATCATTTTCCTGACGATGTGAATGGAACAGTTCTCTTGGATATTTTAGACAATCAGATCGTTGGGGTTGTTTTTTTTGTGCAGGGTATATCAAGACCATGTCGTCTTTGGTAAAGGAAGCATGGCAAAGGGCCGATTGAGATGAATAAATGTTTGTAAACTCATTATACCACCCGTCCATAAGGTTTATGGTTCTAGGAAAGATTGACGATGGGAGGGGTGACAGGTACCATCGATTCAGCGTGTTTTGACGCGTGATAATTGTGTACACACTCCAAAAAACATTGGTACAAATTTTGAGCACGGATTTCGGCACGGAATCGAAAACTCTTTCCTTTTATAAAGTAAATGTTTGCGTCACAAGCCCCTGTGTCTGAAGATTGTTACATTTGAGGGGGTGGGTTATTGTCGTAAGGGAGGCAACTGTAAATCACGATGGCGCGTGTATCTGAGTTACAAATTGATGAAGCGCATATAAAATATAACCTGTATGTCGGGGAAATTAGCAGGCTTTTATTTAGCGAGTGGAAGAGCGCAAATTGTGATTGGGCTTATTTGTGATACGACACCTCTTCGAATAAAAGGGGTGCATTCCTGCAAATCGACATGTGGAGACTTAAACTACCTGGATACGCCGTGATTTACTTCAACGATAAGATGCAGATGTTGTTGAAAAAGACAATTGAATAAACCAACAAAATGCATTCATGGATATTTGATTTAACTTGTTATTGAGGAACTATCAGCTTTATTCCACCCATACTGGGAAAATGAATCAAAATCCATATGTGATGGGATGGACAGCCAATATTGACGTTAGGTACTCATTCTCGTAAGATACGAGCGAAAGTTCACGTGTTTCGTAAAAATGGTATCTAACGAGAATTAGTGTGGTATTTTGTTTATTACCCATGTCAAAATATGTATTTATGTGTAAAAACATAAAAACTTTCTTTCGTTGACAGATCAAACTAAAACCAGTTGCAAATCTGGTTGCGCATGAATATTGATATATGCCGAAATACGGGCATTGTTGACATTTCTATGCATACGCATTAACAACATGTTCTTGCTGTTGTGTGTGCAAACATGACAGCTTCGACGCTCAAGATCCTATTTTAAGAATTTATTCAACTTATGGTAATTCAAGCTCATTGTTGTTCGTACGCATGACACATATAAGAAAATTTTAAAAGTCAATTGGCACCGTGCGGTCACTCGCACCGCCGGGGTTCCCGGCTGTGCAATTAAATTTTTGCGGTTTCCTTGATCTATCAGCTGAATATATGTCCTGTCCGTACCGTTATGGAAGAGGGAAATCAGAGTGCTCGCCAAAGATGTTCATGTTAACTGTACGACCCGATTCTGAAAACGTCAAAATCAACAAACCGAAGTCTGCTTGCATGTCAGTGACAGCTTCGAACGAAGGTCAAGGTCACCATCGGAATAAGAAAAGACAACCGTGATCTACTCACAGCGTTTTACGCTAGGGAATGTTATTGTTCGCATTTGGATTGTTCTGGGCCACAAAATCAGAAGTCATGCCCACTTCCACGGATTTTGTAAATGGTTTGTATCGGAACTGTTCACTTTGAGCGATCTGGTCGTGCAGACGTGTATGTTTATTCATGAACAAACACCGATCACGAAAGAATGCCACAAAATTTGCTTCGAACGGGACACTGATGGCAAAACCAGAGCATTCAACGTAAGTCCAGATATATATTCAGTTAGTTAAAACTGACTTCAATTCACCACGCTTATCCTTTTGTAGCAGTTTAGTGTATGTCTTTTACGAATCAACAAACACATGCTACGGGTTGAGGTCTTATTGCAGATGCCAAAGATCAAGGATCTAAGATATCAGACACCCTGAAACACATAATTACATAATAAATAATAGGTAAAACATTACCATCAATGCTTGATACATAGCATAGGCTTGTTACAAGTAACTATTACATACATGTATATGAGTCACTAAAACACTAGATCGACTGTACGCTAAACGATTATAATAGAACATATGCAGTAATATACATGCAATGGCGATAACTCCTTGACTTTCATTTGACTATAATATATACACAATAACGCTTACACATTCTGTATAAACATACACAACACTTTCAGACAGAAATGAATGATATTATAATATTACATTAAATGTGGTCATAACATTTAGATTACATCTTAAGTATTAGACAAATATAAATAACACAATGCATACCCTTTGGATGATACAAGGGTGTGTATCCCAAATGCCACACGTATGGCAACACCATAGATGATCTGAATATATAATGCATAAACTAAAAAACTATTTAACATTAAGTAATACACACATTTTATTTACAATGATTCGCATGTATCACCTCTGAATCGGTACATTATAAAGCTTTTTAAAACATTCTTGAAGTAAACACTTTCACACATATTTAATTGAAGTGATAGAATGTATTCTAGTGATAAAGTTTAGTTGTTTAGCTTATCTTATGCAGATTTAAATAATTAGACATAATCAACATTTATATTAGATAACATACATTTAGTTTACTTAATATAACATTTTAAACATACTGTATTATTTCAATGCAACGCAAGATAGAGATTATAACCATTTAACTCACCTAATTTAATATTACCTTTTTATCCTGTGCTGGTCTGAGCAGTTCCGTCTGTTCATGTGCTGAGAGAGTATGCAGTGTAATCAAAGCATGCAGTTTAACAATAGGTGTTAGCTTGGCCAATCAGCATATGAAGCTTCTGGCCATGGGGCAGTTAGTAGGTAAAACAGACCAGATACACTTTGTTATAGCTGACTAAAACTGACAACTAGTTATTTATAATAGATATATGTAAAAACCTAAAGTGAAATTAAAACAAATATGTACAAAAAACAACTTCGGCCACACTTTTATGTTAAATCAAATTGAAAGTCGAGAAAGTGGTTGGGTGCGTCACGCTCATAGGGACCCTCGATCTGTCGATCGGTTGTAGTACATTGCAAATGGATATAGCTCGATTAAATAATGTCTGTAGTAGCTCTGTGCATACTAATGCAGAATGCAAAGCGAAGTTGATGCGTGTGACTATCTTGTTTGGTTTAGTAAAGTGTGTGTAAATGTCTTTCGCATCCATGAGATTGCTTCAGTTCTGCATTGTAGTTGCAAATAGAATGACGTCTCGCGATTTTTTATGAATGAAAAAAGTAGTTTCGATGTGACAGAGGTCACGGTTATCCAATCAAAACGAGGTCAACCTTGTACGACACAGGTGTGACGTACGGATTTAGTATATTACCACCTGTATCTTCACCACCTGGGTAATAAATTCAAATATGAAGAAATCCCATTTCTTAGCTGAAGAGTGAATCATTCCTGAAATAAGTTATCCAACAGTTCCATTCCCGTACAAACCCTAATCAACATTTCTTTTCAAAGGTTGTTTGTTACAGCAACAAGAACGCATGGTACCCAACGAAGGTCGGATAAGAAGAAATGAATAGTTGGTCAAAATAGTATTCTTGAAGTGAATGAATAACTTGACATAAGCTGTCTCAAAACTCTTTTTCTGTCATATCTATCTGTCACTACAACCATTAATTTTTTCTCCATTACATTTAAGAAAGGAGGTAGAAGCAGAACACATATACAGGTGTGAAATGACTTTACACACCTGACACAAAGTAAAGAAACTGATTGCTTGTCAAAATTGCACTCTAAAAGTATTGATTATCACTTTCTGCAATGTTGGTTGTAAACTATCATTAACATGTTAGTCAAGGTGATGACAATACATGGAGACGATGTCACAACTTCATATGTCATAATCTGTATTAGGTAAACAATACGACTAATTGCCTCTGGTAATACAGTTGCAGTCACTGTATGTCACCAGGTGTTTCTCTTACACTCAAGACCATTTTCACCGTCTTCTGATGCCAGAAGCCGAATGCACGCTGTTCTCGTACATTATTTGCAAAAAGCATACAGTTTTATGGCTAAGTGATATCAGGAATGCTCATTAAGCGTTGAGTGTTTCCAGCGTGACGTAAGATTCGCTTTTCCCTGTCAAAACATAACTTGGGTATAATATTATTAGCCGAATATCTTATGACATAATCTTAGTCAGCGACTAAATGAGCGTTTTGTGTAGCGTTCTTCGGTCACAGCACTAACATGTTATAAACACAGCAAACATTTAGATAAAGACAAATGCAAACTGATAAATGCATGTGCCGAACATGCTCCTTATCAATCTCAGGGTCATCATTACATTACAAATAACAAGAAGCAGGTTTCAGTGAGTACCAGATAACTTCTCAGATTTTGTTAGGATATGGTGATGTATTCTTTTTTTCTACTATGCTTACATGTGGCGGATATGACACCAAACTCTCTGAGAAAGTTCATATATTCGTTTCTTTAAGATGCATTGTATCTATGACTGTTTAATTCAGTAGCGATTTCCTTGCTCCATTCCCAACTGTGGACAAACCAGAAGGTTCATCGATGATAATTGATGCCGATACGAGAGCTACCCGGTCTTTCTTTTTAACCATTTCCAACAGAAATACACATATACTTGTAGCAAACAGAAGACCCGTTGAAAGAAATATATTTTCAATATACGTTTGTCATCGTTGGAAATTTTATAAGACAGATACATAAAATAATAGGTATCCTGTGATCAACACTTACCTGCAAACAAACGCTGCGTAGTTGGAGTTGGTCAGATTTCTTACTTGAACTGCAGTGAAGAAAATCTTACACAAAAACACGATTACTGTACAATGATAGGACAACATGCAGTTTTCGTTTGACTAAAGTACTATTAGTAGAACTAGTAAACTAGAACCGATAACAGAGCCTCGTGGAATGATCGGTATATCAGAAAATATAGACACATTAAAGCTCTATTCATTAAACATTGTGTCATTTCTCATCCAAAATGTTTGCTACACATTCAGTCACCAGTATCCTAAAGAAATGATAATAATATCTAAGGTATAGTGGGAACGCAACAATTGGAGCACAGTGATCACTACAGCTCGATGTTATGCATTACCTGCTACAGGTGGGCCTATCAAGTTCATTATTCCCGTACTGAGAAAAATGAATCCAAATCAATATGATAGGTTCCCCAGTCCAACTTTCTCAAACGTTATTGGCCCAAGGATAACAAATATTGACGTAAAAAGTACGCACCAATGCAGATGGAGTAGATGTATCGTCCTTCAGTCGAGTGAACAATGAATGGAAGAATTAGAGTTAGGATGGCTGATAGCCCGCAGTTTCCTGCCAGCACAAGCACTGATCCGATGCGATGATCGTTTGTCAGAACACCTACAAGAACACGTGCTATAAGACTTCCTATTCCTGTAACTGACATAGCCATGGCTGACTCTTGTGGTGTTGGGCCACTGAAGTTGAAGAAGTCAGGCATGAAGGTCATGATGATTGAAAATCCCATTCTGAAAAGACATATACCTAACACGATAAGAGGAAACGGGTAGTTTGTTAAAATTCCACGACCAACACCTGAACCAAAGGCAGAAAAGACGGTTGATATGACTGTGCCTTGAATATAAGTCTATGGACATATAAATGTACAGGTAAGAGTCTCGTATTCTCCTCAGTCTAGGTGGATCAAGTATGATTTACTCAACTGCAGAATATGGTTAACATCGCAAGTTTGGCATTTGGCATGTTTCTGTTCTTGTTAGCTGACGTTGCTGTAATATGGTCTGACTGGCCTGAATGTTGTGAGTGGACATCATGTGCTTTACCTAGAATACAGCCAAACGTCACAAAGAGTATCCTCATATCTGATTACAAGCTTCCCAGGGTGAAAACAAGACACGAATCCAGCCCTGCGATGACGACGGCCGTTCTGCAACTGCTTAGGCCAATCAGAAAACTGCCAACAGGTCCTGTCATGGGATGAATAAAACAACGACAATGAATATGAATAACAACCCCATTTCCAAATGTATTGCTTTTATGATCGCATGTCATTAAGTAAAATAGCTAGACTGAATGCAAATACGAAACAAAAGTCTTTGTGTTCACTTTTGACTTATCTTGTTTTTATACCAATTAATCAGAAGTACGTTGCCAATTAAATGCGGATTTTATAAAGAAATTAATGAGTACTGTGACCCTGATTGAGACTATAGTTTTTATTGTATATTGTTGATTGGAATGAAGGTATATCATCCTCCCGCTTTATAGAAGAAGGTGTGTCATTCAGTAGTCTCACGTAATTTACCTTCTCACTATTCTTATTCGCATGGATGGAATCGAGGTCTTTACAAGATATAATTGTCCTTTTCATTTTGCTACTTCCGGTTTGAAAGGGAAGCTTGGAGTGCATAAGGTCAAGGCAGGATAGCATGTGGTGCACATGGCGATGTCAATAAGGGACGGAAGCTGGACAAAACTTACAGCTTGGCCATCCATAGACTATCACGCCAACAATTATCGTAGATACAACTCACATTTGTATCATTGACAAAATATTCTGCTGTCATCTGGTCTCCATACTGTAATAATTCGGGAAAGCAAGAAATTAATGACATACACTCTCTTAGTCAGTTTTACCAGCCGCGGGATCTCTCTAAATGTATCTTGATAGATTATTGCTGAGATATCTGGGATGAAACAGCCTCCCCCTCATTTGTGAGTAGACATGCCCACTGAAGCCCCTGTCACGGTAATGCACTTGCGTGAATCAGAATGGTATTGTGAAATCCATACATCCGGCTAATGCATTGTCTCAAGTCGTGGTGATATGGAATGAAGGCTATACTTTTAGGGGCAACATAACTGTTCGAGCTAACAGTACACCTGAGTGGTATTCTTCTGTTCCCTTTCTATGCTATGAGGTCACAATAGAATGATATATGCTGCTGGCAATGGCCCAAGTTATATAAAACCAACCTCCAACAACATGCATCATGTGTGACACTGAGATGAGCCATCACATCGAAAACATGATTTAAAATTTGATTAATTGATTTAAGTATTATATACATTTTGTCATCGAAGATGTGCTTTTGTAAACATTTTCATAATCGACGTCTATCCACAAAATCGAATGCCTTTTTGAAGTCCACAGAGGCAACATATAATTTAATACATCCTCCCAACTATCCTTCAACTGACACACACACGTTCATACTTACATTCATCGTCACACTCAAACACACACATGTACATCCTCACACTCATCGCTACACACACTAACTTTCATGAACATACTCACACTCATCGTCACCCCCCCAAAAAAAATCAAATACAAGTACGTCCTTAGACCCATCGGTCACACTCACACACACTCAATCAAAGTCACACTCACATGCACTTACACATACAACCTCACACTCATTGATACACTCACACAAGATCACACTCAGTTACATCCTCACATACAGCCTCACACTCATTGTCACACTCACACAAGATCACACTTAGTTACATCCTCACATACAACCTCACACTCATTGTCACACTCACACAAGATCACACTCAGTTACATCCTCACATACACCCTCACACTCATTGTCACACTCACACAAGATCACACTCAGTTACAATATATTTCCAAATGCACCGAAATTCTATGCCTTTTGATTGTTTAATATATTCAGCAAACATTCGACTTATCGCCTCTTATCATAAGCCCCTCCGGGCAGGACCCTTAATCTCCAGCCCTATCTGTAAATGTCAATAAATACCTCCTCACGTCGCCGGATCTTACGTATGTACATTCACGTGGTTCTATGACCTTGCCCCACGTCATGTAATACCTTTATCTACAAAACCTGACTGACCTGGTGTCAGTAAAACGCGGCAGAGATCGACTCGTGTAAGTGACAGAGCGAGTCTCCCCACCCGGGAACATTGGCCACTCGGTCCCGGTGTGCGTTCTGTCAGGTTATTATATGTACCTTTTCGATCTGTTCCATAAACATGGCTGCTGTCGTCGAAAACTTCACCCCCGAGTTTTGTCTTCCCCGTCTCCACCCTGGGCTACCATCCGAGGGCCGAAAACTACGCCCTTGGACATGAACTTGTGGTACCTTGTGCTGTACTCACATTCCAGTGATATTGGTCTGTGTCCCACTGCCTGATCTGTATATCCAATTAAAACAGTCTTGTCGCGGCTTTATCGCAAAACGTCCAATGATTCAAAAAAACATATTATCTGTTTGTGAGTTATGGAATGTTGTCCTTCTGTGGTATCGGTGTCCTTTTTAAAACACGTGTATGACAGTTCTGTGACTCACGTTGCTTGGTCTGCACACGATATTACAGTAGTTTTGTTACTAACATTGTTTGATCTGCACACGATATTATGACAGTTTGTCACTAACATTGTTTGGTCTGCACACGATATTACAGCAGTTTTGTCACTAACATTCTTTGATCTGCACACGATATTACAGCAGTTTTGTCACTAACATTGTTTGATCTGCACACGATATTACAGCAGTTTTGTCACTAACATTGTTTGATCTGCACACGATATTACAGCAGTTTTGTCACTAACAATGTTTGATCTGCACACGATATTACAGCAGTTTTGTCACTAACATTGTTTGATCTGCGCACGATATCACAGCAGTTATGTCACTAACATTGTTTGATCTGCACACGATATCACAGCAGTTTTATCACTAACATTGTTTGATCTGCACACGATATTACAGCAGTTTTGTCACTAACATTGTTTGATCTGCACACTATATCACAGCAGTTTTGTCACTAACATTGTTTGATCTGCACACGATATTATGACAGTTTTGTAACTAACATTGTTTGATCTGCACACGATATTACAGTAGTTTTGTCACTAACATTGTTTGATCTGCACACGATATTAGGACAGTTTGTCACTAACAATGTTTGATCTGCACACGATATTACAGCAGTTTTGTCACTAACATTGTTTGATCTGCACACTATATTACAGCAGTTTTGTCACTAACATTGTTTGATCTGCACACGATATTATGCCAGTTTTGTCACTAACATTGTTTGATCTGCACACGATATTACAGCAGTTTTGTCACTAACATTGTTTGATCTGCACACGATATTGGGACAGTTTAGTCACTAACATTGTTTGATCTGCACACGATATTATGACAGTTTGTCACTAACATTGTTTGGTCTGCACACGATATTACAGCAGTTTTGTCACTAACATTGTTTGATCTGCACACGATATTATGACAGTTTTGTCACTAACATTGTTTGATCTGCACACGATATTATGACAGTTTTGTCACTAACATTGTTTGATCTGCACACGATATCACAGCAGTTTTGTCACTAACATTGTTTGATCTGCACACGATATTATAGCAGTTTTGTCACTAACATTGTTTGATCTGCACACGACATTAGGACAGTTTTGTCACTAACATTGTTTGATCTACACACGATATTAGGACAGTTTTGTCACTAACATTGTTTGATCTGCACACGATATTAGGACAGTTTTGTCACTAACATTGTTTGATCTGCACACGATATTACAGCAGTTTTGTCACTAACATTGTTTGATCTGCACACGATATTATGACAGTTTGTCACTAACATTGTTTGATCTGCACACAATATTACAGCAGTTTTGTCACTAACATTGTTTGATCTGCACACTATATTACAGCAGTTTTGTCACTAACATTGTTTGATCTGCACACGATATTACAGCAGTTTTGTCACTAACATTGTTTGATCTGCACACGATATTACAGCAGTTTTGTCACTAAAATTGTTTGATCTGCACACGATATTGGGACAGTTTTGTCACTAACATTGTTTGATCTGCACACGATATTACAGCAGTTTTGTCACTAACATTGTTTGATCTGCACACGATATTACAGCAGTTTTGTCACTAACATTGTTTGATCTGCACACGATATCACAGCAGTTTTGTCACTTACATTGTTTGATCTGCACACGATATCACAGCAGTTTTGTCACTAACATTGTTTGATCTGCACACGATATTACAGCAGTTTTGTCACTAACATTGTTTGATCTGCACACGATATTAGGACAGTTTTGTCACAAACATTGTTTGATCTGCACACGATATCACAGCAGTTTTGTCACTAACATTGTTTGATCTGCACACGATATTACAGCAGTTTTGTCACTAACATTGTTTGATCTGCACACGATATTATGACAGTTTGTCACTAACAATGTTTGATCTGCACACGATATTACAGCAGTTTTGTCACTAACATTGTTTGATCTGCACACGATATTACAGCAGTTTTGTCACTAACATTGTTTGATCTGCACACGATATTACAGCAGTTTTGTCACTTACATTGTTTGATCTGCACACGATATTACAGCAGTTTTGTCACTAACATTGTTTGATCTGCACACGATATTACAGCAGTTTTGTCACTGACGTTGCTTGGTCTGCACACAATATTATGAGAGTTCTGGGACTGACGTTGCTTGGTCTGTTCACGATATTATGGCAGTTTTTGACTATCTGCAAAAAACCCACTACCGTCAAGTTTGTTACCGCGGTTGTGATCAGGCTGGAATACACGATATGGGAAATAGATGTTTTAATGTTGAGACAGAACTTGTGTTTGGCTATACATGTTATTTCGGCGGTAGTTTGTTGAGATCACTCTTGGCTTCTTGAAAATGATCGCGTTATAGCGGGAGCTTCTGTGGTGAGATACCACATCACCCAGTGTCTGCGTGCAGGGTTTCTGCTGACTCAAGACGACTGTCATGCCGATAAGGGACCCCACAACACGACTGTACTTGTGCACGGATAATACAGGCCGCTGTTCAGTATTATTCAGGTCAAGTGCGTTGTTGTCATCTGAAGGGTCATATGCCGTCGCCATGATATTTTCCTGTGAGCCTCGTCCATTGGTCGTAGCTAGATTCATTCGGTAAGTACCTGACTTCCTATAATAACGCCAGGAAAACACATATCCAAGAATCGAATATGTTGTATAATCATGGTAGTCACGTGTTGCTTTGATAGAAGAAGGCGTGGTGCAATAACCGAGAGAAGCCCCGCACTATAACGAGAACAAAGTTACGCCTCTCATATCTTTTGTTTAAACCATTATGTGGGCTAGTTCAAATCATGTCTGTGTGAGGGGCATTCTCTATTTAACCCTTAAGTGAAAACACATATCCCACAAAAGTGCGTATGTTATAAGATTACAACATTACGCGGTAATGTCATTTGATCGTGTTTTACCAGCAGAGTCGGATGTAGTCACTCGAACGCTATCCTTACAGACAGGCATAACTTAACTCGCGTTTCACTTCACTCACCACTTATTATCAAGGTAAATTATATTACGATGAGTAATAGTAAAGCGGAATTTTAATGTTACCTGTATGATTTTATACTAGTTTCCCACTTAACACTTTTGTGTCATGTTTTTGGAATAAATATTTACTATGACAAAAAAGCGTTGAAACATCACCTTGGCCATACGTTCTTATTCTTTACGAGATTAATACCGAAGTTAATACTGTTAAGTTAGCGATGTTTTAAGAATTTTCAGTAACCAAATTATTACATCCGAACTTTCAAATCTAACACATTCTTGTAATTTATTATGTCTCCAGCTTGAGAATCTGCTTCTTCTGATAGGCACTGGTGGGTAGTTGCTGACCAATTGAGACCATTTCTGTACTGATAGCCTTATTATAGCCTCTTATAGGCTGATGCTTTCCCTATTTGGATGTAATATTTCAGTTGCAGTTGTATAGTTGGTTTTAAGTCAATAGTTAGGTTTGTGAACAGAAACTTCATTGACTGGAAAAAAACGATCAGTGGTATTGGGTATATTCCCCAGGGCCTTTTTTCTTCATGGGTTCCAGCCACAGATATCTTGAAAAAAACATTGAGAGTTATAAGGTGGTACTTGACACCATCATTGTCAGAAGAAATACATCTGTCCATATCTCACCGAGCCTTCAAACCTGTAGTCACCAATCTGTTCGCTTGAGCTTGTACCTCCATGGCCTCTGGGGCGAATAGGCATCTAGGGAAACAATCCTTTTCTTAATGTGATGTGATCCTCTTTCAAATTTGTTCTCCTTTTTTACATTGTGATGTAGTTTAGTGGGTCCAGAAAAGGAAGCGGGGTGTTTTGGATTAACGTAAATACTGGACAAATACTCCTCCCATCCCCCAGCGTGCATGATGCAACTATAAAGGATAATAAACCTTTCCTACGGGTATTCATTTTAAAGAGAGGCTAATAAAGGGACATTTCTTTACTGTTTATTCGATTACATTGCTTATTGAACACGTATGAAAACAAAGGTTAGGTTAAATATCAATCCATTTAATAAAAGCATTATTCATGTCATGCGACCAGGTCCATTCAAAGACTGGGATACCCAGTTATTGCGTCACGCTTCGTCACCCCGGCTGGTCCATCTTCAACCAATCAGAATGCGCGGCTTCTAAAGGGCTCATTAGCTCCTGATGTACAACTCTCGTTTCCCTATCATCAGACATAACTAAGGTCTAATGAGAAGTCTCTCGAGTTCCTCTTTCTGCCCCCACCGTGTATCAAAGTTTACATAGTAAAAACGTTTTCTGTCCAGTAACATTTGTGAACACATTGTCGACCGTGTCAGTCATCCTCTGGTTTAGAAGTGTAGCTAAACTTACGTGTTTTCTTTAAAATGAGTCTATGTTCAATCCTCGGCCTACAGTACGGACAGGAAGGGAAGGTTCAGGTTCCGTATCCGACGTTGTTAACACAAATATATGAGTGACTGACATCATTGTTGTATCAGGTTACGACATTCGATATTAACTATTATATGTTTTTAATTTTTATTTCAGGTGAAAAGACCAATTTGTTTGCTGAATGATATGAACACATTGATTGTGTGAAAACATAATGCTGAAACATCCAAAATAGTGGCCATGGTAAGAGAGGAGACCAGGACCTGCAACTCAGGCACATTTTACTGAAGCTCAAATTTTATATCGGCGTTTGCACTATTATATCAGAGTGTATGGTTTAAGGTGTCTCCTTGACCCGATCGTCTGATCAGCCCACACAAACTTGAAACACCTACCATTCGCTTACATGAACGTTCGGTGTCTATGGTATTCTGAGCCACATAGCGCAGATCTAGATTCTATGGTTAAGTGCAATTGTATTCCAATTCAAGAAAATAATGAGACGAAAATACTATTTACTTGGGACTTTTGTAATTATCATGATTATCATTGCTTTCATGAAACGTAAACCCACAGATAGACGGGAATGGGACCCGCATTATCTAATTAGTAAACCCCGTAAAGGAGGGGGACCGTATGTGAGACATTTTCATGGAAACATTAGACGCGGTGCAGTACCCCAAGTATCAATACTTCTGTGGACGCCATGGTTCAAGGATGTCAATTGGGCGGCGAATTTCTCAACAATATTCGATATGTGTGATTATAAATGTCATTTGACCAAGGACAAAACACGTCTGCGGGAAAGTCAAGCAGTTTTGTTTCATGCTCAAGACTTGGACATTCTGCCCCTGCATCGCCTATCAAACCAAGTGTGGATATTTCATACTAGAGAAGCTCCGCCGAATGCAGCAGACAATTTTGACAAATATGCCAATATTTTTAACTGGACCAGTACATATAGACGTGACAGTGAAGTGTATTCCTCATACGGTGGAACATTTAGAAGAGAATTTCCTAATCGTGGTGTGAAAAACTTCGCAAGCACAAAAAGCCTCGGTGTGGCATGGGTAGCGAGCAATTGTAATGACCAGGCGAAACGGGCAAACCTTGTGAGGGAACTGAGGAAATTCATTCATGTTGACACCTTTGGAGACTGTGGTGAAATGAATCTCAAAGCAGACAAAACGGACCAAGTATTGAAACACTATAAGTTTTATCTGGCCTTTGAGAATAGCTACTGTCGCGACTATATCACAGAAAAATTCTGGTCGTCCCTGCATAGACACCAGATACCTATAGTATCGGGAGGGGGTGATTACACTCGCGTTGCCCCACCACACTCCTTTATCAACGTTCTAGAGTACCAAAGTACAGAGGAACTGGCAGAATACATCAAATATCTAGATCAAAACGACCAAGCTTATAATGAATATCTTGAGTGGACAGGAGAATATTATGTAAAGAAACTAAATCTGGACTCAGTGCTGTGTGATATTTGTACATCACTCCATATTGATATGAGGACTTCTCAGGTATATACTAACCTACAAGGTTATATGGAAGATGACATCTGCGGTAGATAGTCCTACCTTTGATATCATTTGCGCGCCAACGAAATGATTACATTGAGATATGAACAACTGAATAGCTATATATTGATTCATGTATTATTCACAAACCAGCTTTCTGGAATAAACCTGATTAGTTTGTCAATCCACGATACTTTATCCAAGTTTGACTGACACATGTCGTGCCGTTTCCAAGTATCGTATCAAAATACGTGCCTTAACCTGTGAAACGTTATCATATTTGACACTATTGGATTAACAACATATTTCTTTCATTCTGCCATATACATTCAATGATCAGAAAGTTGTATTTAGGATGATGAATGCAATGAGTATAAGGGGAATACTTCTATGAATACACAACTTCTTTATTACAATGAACTACACTAATTGTGGCGTTTCGGTATAGACACACTTAGCAAGCAAGTGACATCATTATTTCTGTCCATCTTACTCCTTCTGCTCATCGTACAGTTGTGATTTACTTGATTTCATTCTTTGCTTGTGTTTGGGGCCAGTACTTCAATGTTTCACAGTCTGTGATTAGAAGACTATGGATCCGGTACCAACAAACCCAAAATGTTGACGATCGACCCTGTTCAGAGTGTCCCAGGTCAACGACACCAATACATAAGCGATTGATCCGAAACCAGGCTCTACGAAATCGAGCTCAAACGGCGAATATAATTGCTGCAAACTTTCATCAGGCAACTAGAGAAGGAGTTATGGGTCAGACAGTGAGAATTTGTCTACATGCAGCTCATCTCCATGCTCGACGTCCACGTGTTGTGTCGCCCTTTACATATCGCCACAGAAGTTGGTGTGCACAACGTCGAAACGTCTAATCGTAACTCGTCACGTGTCACATTTTCATATGAGTTCCGATTTACTTTGCACTTCCTTGATAGGCGTGGTCATGTCTGGTGACGTCAAAATGAACGTCAAGCTAATTTCAACTTGGGACCAAATGACAGATTTAGGGGTGGGTCGGTTATGGTGTGACCGAACCCCACTCCATTTTGTGCAAGGAAGGGTCATTGGACAGTGCTATCAGGAAAAACATGCTGAGATCTCTCGTTGGTCGACGTTGTGTCTTGCAGGATGACAACCCGCGTGCTCACCGTGCGCGAATCGTAAATTTCAGCTCCACCAGCATGGCATCCATACAAAGTCTATGTCAGCAACGAGCCCACCTCTTACCCTCATTGAACACGTCTGGGACATGAAGTGTTGATACTGGGTGACGTGTGCGTCAACGACATAGGAAGCCGAACACGTTGGTTGAACTTGGCCATACGCTGCAAGCGGAGTGGGACAGACTCCCTCAAATCGCCATTGGGAGACTCATACGTAGTATGCCTCGTCGATTGAGTGAATGTTTGACAAATGGTGGCAGTATTTCGCACTACAGATCCAAAAATGTCAACTATAAAATTTCCAATGTCACCCCTTAAGTTCTTCAAGATCATTGGTAGTCATAGCATCTACTGTCATACTTCGCTTCCACTTGTAATTTGTTCCCAATGCGTATATTATTATTATCATACAACTATTACTAGAAATTAAGATCTATTACAATTTTTTAAAGTTTAAGTAATTTCCGCGTATCCCCTACTGTTTTTATAGAGTATATAAACTCAATTGACAAAACAATTTCCTCTGATTCAACTCAGATTGCACCCCCAACATATAGAAGGCTGCTTGATAGGTTGATTGGACCAATATATAGAGAAGGCTGCTTGATTTGATGATTTGACTAATACATACAGAGGGCTGCTTGATTGGTTGATTGAACTCATACATACAGAGGGCTGCTTGATTGGACTCATACATACAGAGGATCGCTTGATTGGTTAATTGGACTCATACATACAGAGGGCTGATCGATTAGTTGATTTAGCTCATACATACAGAAGGCTGTTTGGTTGGTTCATTTAACTTATACATACAGAGGGCTGCTTGATTGGTTGATTTAACTCATACATACAGAGAGCTGCTTGTTTGGTTGATTGGACCCATATATTCAGAGGGCTGCTTGATTTGATGATTGAACCCATACATACCGAGGGCTGCTTGACCGGACTCATACATACAGGGGGATGCTTGATTTGTTGATTTAACTGATACATGCAGATGATTGATTGATTGGTTGATTTAACTCATACATACAGAGGGCTGCTTGATTAGACTTATACATACAGAGGACTACTTGATTGGTTGATTGGACTCATACATACAGAGGGCTGATCGATTGGTTGATATAACTCATGCATACCGAGCGGTGCTTGACTGGACTCATACATACCGAGGAATGCTTGCTTGGCTGATTGGACTCATACATACAGAGGGATGCTTGATTGGTTGATTTAACTCATACATACAGAGGGCTGCTTGATTTGTTGATTGAACCCATACATACCGAGGGCTGCTTGACCGGACTCATACATACAGGGGGATGCTTGATTTGTTGATTTAACTCATACATACAAATGGCTGCTTGATTGATTGATTGGGCTCATCTATACAGAGGGCTGCTTGATTGGTTGATTTAACTCATACATACAGAGGGCTGCTTGATTGGTTGATTGAACTCATGCATACCAAGGGGTGCTTGACTGGACTCATACATACCGAGGACTGCTTGCTTGGCTGATTGGATTCATACATACAGAGGCATGCTTGATTGGTTGATTTAACTCATACATACAGAGGGCTGCTCAATTGGTTGATTTAACTCATACATACCGAGGGCTGCTTGACCGGACTCATGTCATACAGGGGGCTGCTTGATTTGTTCATTGGACTCATACATACAGAGAGATGCTTCATTGGTTGATTTACCTAATACATACCGAGGGCTGCTTGTTTGGTTGATTGGACTCATACATACATACAGAGGGATGCTTGTTTGGATGATTGGACTCATAGAAACAGAGGGCTGCTTGATTGGTTGATTTAACTCATACATGCAGAGGGCTGCTTGACTGGTTGATTGAACACATACATACCGAGGGCTGCTGGACTATACTCATACATACAGACAAGCTTGCTTGGCTGATATAACTCATACATACAGAGGGATGCTTGATTGGTTGATTTAACTCATACCTACAGAGGGCTGCTTGACTGGTTGATTGAACACATACATACCGAGGGCTGCTTGACTGGACTCATACATACAGAGGGATGCTGGATTGGCTGATATGACTCATACATACAGAGGGATGCTTGATTGGTTGATTTAACTCATACATACAGAGGGCAGCTTGGTTGGACTCATACATACAGAGGATCGCTTGATTGGCTGATTGGACTCATACATACAGAGGGCTGATCGATTGGTTGATTTAGCTCATACATACAGAAGGCTGTTTGGTTGGTTCATTTAACTTATACATACAGAGGGCTGCTTGATTGGTTGATTTAACTCATACATACAGAGAGCTGCTTGTTTGGTTGATTGGACCCATATATTCAGAGGGCTGCTTGATTTGATGATTTGACTCATACATACAGATGGCTCCTTGGTTTGACTCATACATACAGAGGGCTGCTTTATTGGTTGATTTAACTGATACATACAGATGATTGATTCATTTGATTGATTTAACTCATACATACAGAGGGCTGCTTGATTAGACTTATACATACAGAGGACTACTTGATTGGTTGATTGGACTCATACATACAGAGGGCTGATCGATTGGTTGATTGAACTCATACATACCGAGGGCTGCTCGACCGGACTCATACATACAGGGGAATGCTTGATTTGTTGATTGGACTCATACATACAAATGGCTGCTTGATTGATTGATTGGGCTCATCTATACAGAGGGCTGCTTGATTGGTTGATTTAACTCATACATACAGAGAGCTGCTTGTTTGGTTGATTGGACCCATATATTCAGAGGGCTGCTTGATTTGATGATTGAACCCATACATACCGAGGGCTGCTTGACCGGACTCATACATACAGGGGGATGCTTGATTTGTTGATTTAACTGATACATGCAGATGATTGATTGATTGGTTGATTTAACTCATACATACAGAGGGCTGCTTGATTAGACTTATACATACAGAGGACTACTTGATTGGTTGATTGGACTCATACATACAGAGGGCTGATCGATTGGTTGATATAACTCATGCATACCGAGCGGTGCTTGACTGGACTCATACATACCGAGGAATGCTTGCTTGGCTGATTGGACTCATACATACAGAGGGATGCTTGATTGGTTGATTTAACTCATACATACAGAGGGCTGCTTGATTTGTTGATTGAACCCATACATACCGAGGGCTGCTTGACCGGACTCATACATACAGGGGGATGCTTGATTTGTTGATTTAACTCATACATACAAATGGCTGCTTGATTGATTGATTGGGCTCATCTATACAGAGGGCTGCTTGATTGGTTGATTTAACTCATACATACAGAGAGCTGCTTGTTTGGTTGATTGGACCCATATATTCAGAGGGCTGCTTGATTTGATGATTTGACTCATACATACAGATGGCTCCTTGGTTTGACTCATACATACAGAGGGCTGCTTTATTGGTTGATTTAACTGATACATACAGATGATTGATTCATTTGATTGATTTAACTCATACACACAGAGGGCTGCTTGATTAGACTTATACATACAGAGGACTACTTGATTGGTTGATTGGACTCATACATACAGAGGGCTGATCGATTGGTTGATATAACTCATGCATACCGAGCGGTGCTTGACTGGACTCATACATACCGAGGAATGCTTGCTTGGCTGGTTGGACTCATACATACAGAGGGATGCTTGATTGGTTGATTGAACTCATACATAAAGAGGGCTGCTCGACCGGACTCTTACATACAGGGGGATGCTTGATTTGTTGATTTAACTCATACATACAAATGGCTGCTTGATTGATTGATTGGGCTCATCTATACAGAGGGCTGCTTGATTGGTTGATTTAACTCATACATACAGAGGGCTGCTTGATTGGTTGATTGAACTCATGCATACCAAGGGGTGCTTGACTGGACTCATACATACCGAGGACTGCTTGCTTGATTGATTGGACTCATACATACAGAGGCATGCTTGATTGGTTGATTTAACTCATACATACGGAGGGCTGCTCAATTGGTTGATT